AGAAAAGAAAATATAAGCACGCGCTCTAAACTTTCAACCCTATTAGACTGGGCAACATCTAGATTAAGCAGTTTTTTCTCACCCACTGGATATTGCAGTCCTTAATATACAGGTTTGTTCCTTAAACCTGGGTCAACCTCCCCTGTTGGAGTCTTGTCTTCTTCTCAGTGTCTTAGCTGCTTGCAGCGAAGGTGTGGGCATGAGAAGGGCCCAGTAAGTGTCCACTCTGTCTGTTTTATACCCTCAGTCCATGTGCTTGGGGAGCACAAGTCCAGGCGCATCTGGGGGGGCATTGCTGAGTCTCTCCAAGCAAGGTTGAACAATTCCCCTGGTGTGGAACAGACTTGCCCGGGTGTTGATTTCTTTTCTTGCTCTTGCCTCTGGGGAGCTAATATCTGTCTGATTCCCCAATTTACAGCATGTTTTAGTGACCGCCATACAGCACAATTCTCATAATTTCATATGCATCAATGATATACATATATGGATAGAGAAATGACTTTCAGCAGATCATAATCTTTCCTCTGATACCTTACAAGGCATGCTTTATATGTGAGATCACGATTATGAAAATGAGGAATATGGGGGGTTACAGTATGCTCCCCCAAGGTATAGAATGTCAGTCACTCCTTCATATTGCTGGCTCTGGATGCCGGGAGCATGCAGACCTAAAAGATGGCTCAGCAGGATGTATTGGGAGACTGCGACAACTGTCTGTAATGTGGGAAGTGATAGTCAAGTTTTCTTAAGCTGCACAATGAACGAGAGCGGTGACAGGTGATGGGGGTGCTAGGAAGCCTGGGATATGATGGTTTCACTCAGGTCTGCATACTGCAGTGTGGACACTGGAGCCCGGGTTTGGTGCTCAGGTCCAGAAATTCTAAACCTAGGGTCACCAATGAGTGTGGATGCTCAAACTATGGGCTTACAAACCCAGGATCCACTGATTCGAGTCCCACTAACCCTGGCTTGCATTGCAAAAAAAGAAAATATCTCAGAGCACAGGTCAACTGCAGGGCTGGCCCGGGGGGGGGGGGGGCAAATGGGGCAATTTGCCCCGGGCCCCGCAGGGGCCCACACAAGAGTTTTTTCGGGGCCCCTGGAGCGGGGTCCTTCACTCGCTCCGGGGCCCCCGAAAACTCTTGTGGTGCCCAGGCCCCCAGAGCTTCTTCCGCTCCGGGTCTTCGGCAGCAATTCGGCGGCGGGGGGGTCCTTCCGCCCCGGGACCTGCCGCCAAAGCACCAGGTCTTTGGCGGCAATTCGGCGGCGGGGGCCCCCCCACCGCCGAAGACCCCAGGCCCCCAGAATCCTCTGGGCGGCCCTGGTCAACTGGTGTCTATAAAACCTTCAGAACTATCACCAGGGCAGCAGAAAACCCTTTATAGAGGCTTATAAGGAAATTTAAAACAAATAATAGAGGACATACTACTTTAAAGGTGCTCTGTCACACTTGATTTTTTTTAAATGTTGATCAATGAAAAAAACAAAACCTAGTTGATAGTGTCTTTACGGAACTAACCATAACACCATGGCGGAAAGGAGTGTTTTCCTATCCAAATGAACGTATGAAAGTAGGATTCAAAAGTGAATTTACATCCTTATACATTATCATACAAATCTGTATTTCATATCCCCCCATGAAATAATGTGATCTCTATACAAGAGACATTTTCTTGACTTAAACACTGTGGGGTTGGTATGTGCCAGCTGCTGAGTGCTGTTGCCCTGATCCAACAAAACACTTAAGCATGAGCTTAACTTTAAGCGCATGAGTAGTCTCATTGACTTAATGTTAAGCACACATTTAACTGCTTTGCTAGAAAAGGGCGAGGATGTTCAACACCTAGCAGGATCGCGCCCTGAAATATCTAGGGCTTTAACAGTTTTTGCCAAGAACATATTTCTAAATGTTTGAAAACCTTACAGAATACAACTTTCACTTCACCTTCAATCTCAAAATGTATTGAAGTTTCAAAGGATAACATTCTTATAGGAACTCTGTGAATCTGGAAAAGATTTGAAGTTTTCATGAAATAGGCACTGCTCTGTCTGCTTTTTAATTGGTTAAAGCTGACAGTAAAAAAAATATGCACTGCTGCTTTTTTGTTAGAAGTTCCTGAAATATATTTAGAACAAATTTTCTACTATGCACAGACCACAGGTTTGTGTTTTATTAATTAGACTCATTTTGTTAATATTCAAATGCTTGAAAACTGCTAAAATAGGGCTTATAATCATTAACAAAAATGTAAAATTTTCAGTTTGCAAACCACACATTTTGGTATTTCTTAGAGAGATGTATATATTATATCATAGAAAAAACAAATGGTATAAATTAAGCAAACTTTAGAGGGTATTTTTTACTTTTCAAAGAATAATTATATACTTTAATACCCTTAAACTTTTTTTGCTAAAAAACAGATGGCTAAATTCTATTTTCAGTTACATAGGAATAAATGTAGTGTAGATGTAAATGTAGTACATGTAAAAAACATGAAAATGATTGGAACAATCGGGTTTTCTACATTGTAAGTCAATGTAACCATGTGACCTTATTACTGTCATCCTCTGAATCTGACACCTTCGTCCCCTGTTCCCTACTATTGGCCTTAAAGGAAAGCACACCTATTCAGGAAGCATGCTTAAACACATGCTTAGCTTTCACATTCCTCCATATGCATTTATAAATTGCCTAGCAAAATAGGGCCTTTGGGTGTTACTGGAACAATAAGTAACAATAATAACAAAGTCAACTGAGTTCCTCTGGCTATACTCGGTATAACTGAGAGCATAATCATGTGGATCTCCACTTAAAGAGACTTTGGATTTGATTAAGGGATATCTCAAACTTAGGCCCAGATAGGGTGACCAGATAGCAAGTGTGAAAAATCAGGACGAGGGTTGGGAGTAATAGGAGTCCGTATTCAAAAAAGCCCCAAATATCAGGACATCTGATCACCCTAGGGCCAGAGAGCTCTTTCCTGCTCCCATTGAAATTAGTTGCAGAATTCCATTTATACAACATTTTGCTTTCACTTACACTGGTATAAAACGCAAGCAAGTCCATTGATTTCCATGGTGTGAACCTGAGTCACTCCAGAGTAAATAAGAATACAATTTGCCCTTTTATCCTCAGTGGAAACATTCATGAGTATCAATTCAAAATTTTTAAGCTAAAAATTGTACCTATATTGCCACTATTTAAAATGAGTCTTCACTTCTGACTGAAATCTTTGGTCAGTTCCGTTTCATTAATGGTTATTATTGTTTATGTTATTAATCTCAACAGGGAAAGTTGCTAAATGTATCTTTTAAGAATGCAATCTATCTCTTCATTATCAGAAAATAAATATATTGTGGGAGCACACAAAAATATTTTCATGCTCTCTGTTGGGAACATCAAACAAATATGGTTACAGGTACAACAACAATGATGTTTGGCAAGGTAGTATTCTTTATAAGGTGGAGTTGTTTAATGAGCTAATTTTCACTCCGAAAAAAATTAATCAATATTTTCACAATGTCAAAGGAAAACAATTGTCTTTCTAATTTCTAATATGACCAACAAAAAAATAAAAAACCCTAAACAATTACATGTTGAACCTCTCTAGTCCGGCATCTCTGGTCCGGCAACATCCGTGGTCCGGCATGATTTTATTTTATGTTTTTTTATACTTTATCTACTTATTTCCTTGTGCCAATACAGTAAAATTGTGTAACAACACTAACACTTCGTTATGAAGAGAGCTGATAAGCCTTGGCTAAGCATCGTTGCAAACATTATTCTGTTTATTCGCCTCGGTGAGATAAAAAGAGAACCGCTCGCAACAACATTGACCTCCTGTGGTTTGGCAAATTTTCTGGTTTGGCACCCGTCAGGTCCCAAGGGTGCCAGACTAGAGAGGTTCAACCTGTACTTGAAAATGATCTTTAAATGTGGTCAATTGCTTTGCATTTATTGAGACACTTTGAAAAGGAATATCATTGTGTATGCTCCAACTCTGACCTAGGTTAAGATTATTCTAAGATGGTGGAGAACATCCTCTTCATTTTCCCTCTTAAATAAACAAACTAACTCCCACAAACTACTTCTTTGGGCCTGATACTTAGGGGAAACTCTTGACTGAACTGAATTAGATATTCACCTAAGTCAGGACTGCAGGACCATGAACCTTATCAGTAGGAAGTAGTATAAATAAATAACTAAATACACAATAAAAATATGCAACATTTTAATTGGTCTTCCACAAAAACAGTTTCTCCTTTGGTGCTCCCTCTGCAGCAGCAGTTAATTGACAAACACCAAGTACTTTGAAGATGTTGGTGGCGCACTAAAGAAGAAGTGAATTCAATAACCATGTTAAGTTTAAATTCTGTTACAAAGAATCAGGGGAGCATTGTGTGTCAGAAAGAGTACAAGAAAACCAATGTGGAAATAAATTTTAATGGTAAGTCATGATTTTAAGAAGAGTACAAAAATTAAGAAGAATTTTCTTTTAAACTAAAAATGCCTTGAATATACATTTAGTTTTAAATATACTTCTCCCTGCACCAAGCCTGAGTAATAAAGCAAACAAGTGGGTGTTGGGGAGGATGGCTACGCCTGTGACCCTTGTGGAAGGCTACCACTGGGCTTCTGGGGCATGCGGGGCCCTCCAAAGGTTGAATTTTGCCCCTATATATTTAGCTGATCAGATCTGTGCAAAAAAAAGATAGAATTGTGCATTTTATGTAAAAGCATGAAATTTGTCTTAGGGCATGACCTAATAAAGATTTTCAGATATAGAGACATCACCAGCTCATGCCATGTTGGCTGTGGCAGACGTTTTAACATCATTGTCATTACTGGCAAATTACATTGTTTTACAGTTGGACACACAAGGGCTGTATTCTTGGTTTTGCTTCAGCGTGATCTTAAAATTGCTGTAAGGAGACATTTTGTACTAATTTTGATTGCCAGTGTGTTCTTGGCAGAATTTAATCACATTTCTCTTTTTCTTTCAGATGCTACTTTGGTTGTGTGAAAGCTGCTTGGTGATTGAGTAATATTAGCTGTACACTGTAGTAAAAAATATTAGATTACCATAGGCTACTACTAGTGCTTCACCCATCTCAAAAAGACACAAACTTGTTTGAGAGCCAGGTCCATCAACACAGACATCCGATTCCTCTACTGACTGAAGTATGTCTTTGTCAGGAAGATACAGGTGCAGAGTTAGTTAATCCAGCAGAATTGAAAAGAGAACATGCTGGATCTGGCTATCGAACTCTAGCAGAAAATATAAGACATTTCCATAAAGTGAAAGCACTTCCTATATTCATAAACATATGCATATTAGATGATGGTGATGGTATTGAAAAGAGTTTGAACAAGAACAATGGACAGCACAAATCTTGCTACATCAAGTTTAACAGGACCAAACTTAAAGGGACTGAGGAGAAAAAAAAAGAACTGAGTAAGCTATGGATCACCTTGATGAACTGCAGAGGAAATATACACGTTTAAGTGATGAACACAAAGGGCCTCCAGAAAAAGAAGTCTGCTTTATTTGTGAAATGAGCTTACCATCAGAAGACCTCCATGAAGCTTCTACTCTCAGCATTGATAGTCGAGTCCACAAGAGTGCACTTCATCTGCAAAACCAGCACTTGGTTGCACTACTAAGTGGAGGGGATTTAGAGGCCCAAGAGGCAAAGTATCATGCAAGATGTTTGATGTCTCTCTACAACAAAGCCAGGGAGAAGAAAACTGAGCAAAGCAACACAGAGAAGACATCACGTGGGATTGCCTTTGCTGAACTGATAGCATACATTGAAGAGACAAGACTGAATGAAGACGTGGCTCCATTCTTTAAACTAGCAGACCTCAAAAGGCTCTATACAGCTAGACTAGAACAGCTGGGGATGACACTGGCAGGGCGCATTCACAGCACTGAACTAAAATCCCATATAATTTCACATACTCCAGATCTCCAAGCACACATGATGTGCTCCTTGCCTTCAACCAGGATATTGGATATGCACGCCAAAAAGCATGTGAGGAAGAAGCTCTTTACCTATCCCAAACAACAACAATTACTGAAAGGGACATGTTTCAAATGAAAACAGAATTTCATGGATAATATGACCCAGGATGCCAAGAAACATTTGTTCCCATGTCACTATTGGCACTGATGTCCGTGATATTGGATGGTCCAAACATTAAAACTCAGAGCAAGTTTCCATTCATCCAGCTACCTTTACTTTGGCACACCTGTTGCAGTACAACAGCAATATCTGTCACCATGAAGGAACAGAAAGTTTATACCACAACAAAGCATGAGAAATGCATTTACCTATCTATGTTGGTTTAACACTTCATGCACAGACAGTGAAAAAGTGAGCTACCAGATACTTTCTTTAAGCTTGGATTGGCCATTTCCTATAGCAGAGTGTTGGCCATCTTTACCAGCAAACAGTGCATGCCAACACTTGGAGGATGAGAATGTAGTCTGTCCTCTAAAGCTTTGTGATGTATTGTTCACTACTGTGGCCATAGACATCACAGACCACAATCCCAGCCCTACCACAGCAACAGACTCCTTCCGTAGAACTAGGATACCACTTTTTCAGCCTCCCAGTACGTAAGTGGAGGGAGATGTCCATGGAATTCCCACCCCTGACTGTGAGACTGTAGTATCAGTGAAGAAGATTTTATCATCACTTTCTGAGTCTTACACAATTGTCCCTCCAATGATCTTAAGAAAATGAATACTCCCATCCCTGTCACAAATGCTGAAATCAAGACTGACTGCCTACTGATTACCCAAGCTCTGCAAGAAGAATGCAGGTGGCTTGAACAAATTAGGCAAGCAGCAAGTCTGGATAACTTCAATGGAGATTAAGACATTTCCTGGGCAACTTATCATGCCAGCAAGCAGCCAGTGCCAGACTTCGCTCCAGTCATCAATGTGCTTCTTCCCGTCTTTCCAGATGACTCCAAGTCTGTGGCAATGATTCATCATGTCATGGATGTGATGAGGAATGCTATATTCCACCTAAATCCGTATGAAGTGCCAGTGATCACTGAGGACTAACCCCTTCTCACCATAACCAAACAGATACAGTGGACCTGGCCTGCTGGGTATGGCGAGGACAAATCTGTTATTATGTGGTCTTCATCTGGAAATGGCAAGTTTAAATGGAGATTGGCTAGAAGATAGTGGACGGATACAAGCCCTTGTTCAGGCCAAAGTGGCCTCCCTAGGAATGGCTGACTTCTTGAAAGTGTGTCATGTCATACGTACTAGGCATGCCCATCGAGTAATTGCCAACAGTCTGTGCATCTTGCTCCAAAATGCACACATACCGTATACCCAACATCTTAAGGAAGATGAGGTCCTCATGAGGTATAAATGGTGTGACAAGCGAAAATTAGAAAACCCAGTGTTCTACTTCTGGCATACCACACTTCATTTGGATCTACTTGTATTGACCTGTGTGCTGTAAATCCACCAGGCAAACTTTGCTCTCTACAGTGAATGCCTTGGAAAGCTCTCACCCTTGTTCTTTGTGTTAGATCATACTAATTATGCACATTGGGTGCCTGTTCACCTTCAAGATAAGGTAAGCCTTTCACACAGTGCATCCAGACACAATTAGAGAGTTCCTAAAAGGAAACATCACAGTTTGCAAGACACAACATGTTTTCTCTGCCGTCATGCTTGACCAGCCTCATGAGCAAAATCATACCATAATCAAAAGGGATGGTGGAGCTATTGGTCTAACACAAAATACGGAAGCCCTTTGGCTCTGGATGGTAGTGGGACCAGAGATGGCCAGGTTGATAGAGGCTTGAGAAGACTAATAGAGATATCATGTATGTATTGCTATAACTATAGTGCTCTGCATTCTTTGCATACCAGAAACTCATCAAAATGAGTGGACTCATCAAATAAATGGGAATTTGAGTTGCACAACGGATGCAATATTTGCCCCTTATTTTTGTTCACACACACGCACACACACACTTTGAAAAAAGAAGAAACAAACAAGTCAATTTTACTTTTATGTTTGACACTCTTAAACCCCAATCCTGGAAATAATGATATACACGAGTAACTTTAGGCACCTGAGTAGTCCTTTTGTAATCAAGAGGGCTACTCATGTGCATAAAGTAAGCATGAACTGTTGTGTTAGGATCAGGGAATAAATTTGTAATTAGGTCCAACGATTGTCAGAAATGTGTTACTGTTTCATTTCAGACCTGATTCTCTAAGGTGCAGTTGACTTTAATATAAACAGAGGGCAATCAATGCCCTATAGGTTCAGACCCTTAGTTACTTTTATTTAAAAGTATGTGCATGTCAGGATGCTATTTAACCTTCAGACATACCAGATGGTTAGCATTGTGATGATTTGTGTTGGCAGCAGTAGTGGGATTTGATATCTATTTCAGCCAAAAGCAAATGCAGTTTAGGCTCTACTTTTGGGATTGCTGCAACAGATCTGATTTTACTTACTTTTGGTTTGCGCCACTGTAACTCTAATGATGTCAACAGAATCACACCAGCATGAGAGCAGAAGCAGACCCAATGTTCACCAGTTTTGCTCGCTACTCTTTCCCATAGCTTATATATCTGATTTGTGCATGCAAATTTAGGTCAATGTACACTTTATGGGCTCTAACACACACACACTCATACTTACTTTTACAGGCACAAAATAATACACTGGCTTTGAGACCAACAGAAAATGTAAGTAATTTTTTTAACTTCTCACTGATTCAAATTGGCCCAGTTTGACAGTCCTGTATTCTACCAGGATTTTCCATACACTGTGGGAAAAATCCCCTATAGTCCAGATTCTCATCTCATTTACACCATTAGGAATTCGAAGTAACTCCAATTAAATCAATCACCTTTCTCAAGCAAGAGATTGATTAGAGCAGAGCTTCAGCAAACTGCATTGAACAGAATGCAGGCTATCCACAGCCACTGCATTTATACTTGGCCCAATACTGTGTCTAGAATCTGTCACCGTTAGTCATTCATGCTGTAACATATGGAATAAGGTTTTTATTTGCTGGGTCTTTCCCCTCCCAGTTCTGCAACGTGTTGACACTGCTATGAAATAGATTGTGAGGAAATGGTGATAAGAAGGGATTTGTTCTGGTTGCTGGACGGCGTGTGAATATTTGCCTCCTATAAATAAGTCTCTCTCTCTCTGTTTATTAGGAGAACCCTGGCTCCCTCTGATTGAGCTGCAGGTTTCTATGGAGACAGCGTCCTGGCAACAACTCTCAGCAGCCGTTTTCTTCCCATCTACCAGGCCTGGTGGCAGCAGGCCCCGCGGAGAGGGAGAGGACCTGGCTGCTACTAGCAGCAGGAAGGGACGGATGGACATCCAGGCTGTCTAGCTGCGCTCTATGAATCTTTGCATACAGCTATCCCAGAAGTAAAAACATATTAAAAAGCCGAGCAGAGACATCCAGCAGAGAGGTTGCTAGGATGCAAGGGAAGGATGGGCAGCCATGTCCTGCCCTAATCCAACACTGGTGAGTGAATACAGCAGCTTTAATACGACTAAGAGTCTGTCTGAACTTTGCCCCTCTCTGTCGCATGACAATATGGTGATGTTTGTGTTGTGCTGTTATGTCAATTTCCCCCCATCATAGCATTTCCACAATCATCCCCATATTCTCAGACGATCCCTCATGGAAGTGTGCTGCAGTCATTTTAGGGGACCTGTAAAACTTCATAATGTGGCAATGCAGTGTATGTAGTGTAAGGGCTTGTTTGATGTATCAAAGTGATGGGCTTTTTGTTTTTTTGACCCATCCTCACACTGAGTCATGACACAATAACATTTCTATTCACTCCAAAACACCATCCTGGTATGTTGCAATGCTCCAGTGCAACATTGTGATTCCTGAGTTTGTCCCAGCTACGCACTCTCAAAGGGCCCCTGGTCACAACATTGTGTTGTCTCCAGAGGTATTCCTGGACTGTTTTGAGACAGGAAGGATGGTCCAGTGGTTTGGGCATTAGCCTAGGACTTGGGAGGCCCTTAGAGTCCTTGCTCTGCCATCAACTTCTTGTGTGGATTTAAGACAAATCACTTAGCTTCTCTGTGCCTGAGTTCCCTGACTCTAAAATGGGGATAATAGCTCTTCCCTACCTCACAGAGGTGTTGTGAAGATAAATCCATTGCAGACTCTGAGGTACTCGGATTCTATTGTATGTACCTTAGGTAGATTTCAATGTTATGAAAGTTACAGAACAGAACTGCTACCATTGTGACTTAAAAGAAGGGGCAAGTGGAAAACTGTGTATGGTACTTGTACGGCCCTCATTGTCATAGAATCTGAGCATCTCAAAATCTGTAATCTATTTATCCTCACAACACCCCAGTGAGGTAGAGCAGTGCTATTGTCCCCATTTTACTGATGGGTATCTGAAGCACAGAGAACTAAGTGACTTGTTCAAGGTCACACAAGAAAACTATCCCAGAGCAGGGAATTGAGCCCAGTCTCCCAAGTCCTAAGCTAGTGCCTAAATCATTGGAACATCCTTCTTCTCATCCCCCCAGAAATCAAATGTGCAGGGCAATGGGTGCTTTCAATGTGTGGCAGAGGGAGAGGTATGCAACAACAAAACAGGATCAAACCTGAATTTATGTATGTCTGTTTCCTTAATCTTGCATGCAGCTTCATCTTTAGTTTCAAGTTTTGCATTTCTGACGTCAATGATTTACAGGAATAACAGTGAGGTATTCCAGGTTCATATGAGACAGAAATTGTGGTAGGCCTCAAGTGAGTGAGTATCTTTACAATCAGGTATGGAACTTACAGTTGTGAGATATCCATGTAGCTGCAATAGGACAAATGTAGAATATTCAGAAAAGAACTCTTGAAATAATACTCTCGTAAATCTGATAATATTGACTTACTGTCTTGTGCTTTAAGTTACTGTATCATATCAAACAGCAGTAAAATTAATTGAAAATAACTACTGACTTAAAAGGTAAAAGATTTGGGGCCTGGACCTCTATTAGGTTCAGTGGAACTATGTCAATTTACACCAGCTCAGGATCTGATCCTGAGAGTTATATTTTTCTTTTGCTGCACACTTGTTAACATTAATGGATATTACACACATACATAGAGAGGGAATATAACTATTAGTTCTGATATGTAGCTATTATTATTTACAGGACATATATACACTTCCAGAATTGCAGAGAGCTGCGTGGAATTTAAATGCTGGTGGACAAGATGCTGGAGACTTGGTCCCTGAAAAAATGCTGAATTTACGGCTTGATCAAGTTAGTGGGAATATTTCCATTGACTTGAATGGGCTTTGGATCAGGCCTTTACTGAGGCTTGCCTGTTAGATAAACAGAGCCCAATCCTGAGGTCCTTACCCAGTGCATATTCAGTACATAGTAGAGCAAAATCCCAGGGTATGTCTACGCTGGAATTAAACACCCGTGGCTGGCCACTGTCAGCTGCCTCGGGCTCGCAGAGCTCAGGCTGCGGGATTCTAAAATTGTGGTCTAGATGTTCAGGCTCAGGCTGGAACCTGGGCTCTGGGACCCTCCCCCCTCTTTTGGGGTCTTGGTGAATGTCCTCACAGCAATTTCACAGCCCTGTAGGGCATGTCTACATTGCCCCACAGTTCGGACCAAGGGGGCGTGCATAGCTGTGGGCACCAAAGTACTGTGCTGTAACTCCCCCTTGTGGGTGCTGCAGGTAAGGACATACAGGTCATGAGTTCTCTGTAAACAATAACAATAACCAGATCTAATAGGTATATTCCCTCTGGGGACCTTTTAAGTTCACACCTGCAGCATCCACACAGGGAGTTACAGTGCAGCATTTTGGTGTGCACTGCCATTCAGACTCTTAGTCGGAACTGTGGGGCAATGTAGACATGCCCCCAGTATCATTCAGGATGAGATAACTGCCTCAGAATGTCATTGGAGGTGTGTGAGGTCTCAGCATCAGAGAGATCTGAGTGTGTACTGCAGAGCCAGCACTAGGTATAAGCAGAATAAGCAATTGGTTAGGACCCTGAGCATTTCAAGGGGGCCCCCTATTAATTATTAGTATGTGTTGTGTGTGTTGGGGGGGCCAAGTATTTCTGCTTAGGGCTGGCAATGGCCTACCACCACCACTGGTCTACGGAGTGATGTGTTTAAATTAAAAATGACAAATAACTGAATATTTCATATTTGGAAATATTGTTTCAGATGAATCAGTGCCTTTGGTGGCTTTTAGGACAATTTGTATTTGAATGTACATCTGTGACTAATCCTGCAGTCTTTCTGCACCCAGACATTGGCTTCAGTGGGAGTTACAGATGCACAAGTATGGCAGGATGAAGCCATTGTGAGCTGAGGTAAAAAAACAAACCACATTTAAGATATACTGTCAATT